AAATGCTAATGTGTTAAGAGGAGCAAGACGACCTTTACTCACACTCTGCACGCAGATGGAGCAGAAGCACAAATCAGAAGCCCTCAGTAAATGAGCATCTTCCTTTGACTCTGACTCCCTTCCCTGCACGCCCTGTGTCAGATATAAGGTGTGTTTATCACAGTCGAGCCCAGGGGGCTCTGTCAACATTATAGAGCTGAGTTCAGTTCAGGTGTTAAGTCAGACATGATTGGATGGTTGCAGAATGTGCAGAATGTTAAGTCAAATGTGATTGGTTTATTTTTTTCGGGGGGAAATGTCTGCTCAAGGTAGCGCTTCTCTTCACTGCAGTGAAAACGTTGGTGTTGTGTATTCCTGCCTTTTTCCTTCTTATTACAGATATCATATGCTTCTTGTCTTTATGTACCCCAACATTAGAACTGCATGACTTCCTGCATCCCATACAAAGTAGGAATACTGCCATCTTGTGCATTTAGAGCCAAACTCTTCTCAGTAGAGATCAGTGGATGTCGCTGATGTAGCAAGGTCCCATTGATGCACACTCTCAACCAATCAGAAGTCAATCTCAGTTGTCAATCATGACGTTTCACCCCATTTTTATAGCCAAAATGGAACATGAGCATTTGAACAAGCATCACTGTGAGAAAAACTGCCTAGCATGACAGAGACCATCTTTGAGAAAAAAATATTTTACGTGTGCTTTTGAGTTTTTAGTTTGGTCCCTACAAAGTCTGCTAACATGGAGGAGGTGAACCTTTTAACCTAGATTGCAGCAAGCTAGCAGGAGGCGACACTTTGGCTTTACTTTAGGGGAGCAGTCATGTCATCCATCTTTATACAAACTCCTCAAAACCTACATAGGCTTTTATCCCCTGTCTAGGATTTCCACTATTATTTTCTGTCCTTGTTATTTTTATTCTCGTTTTGAACTCTGTAATGGGGCCTTGGGTACCTTCTATAAGTGTGTTGGGCTGAAATTTAGTTGCCCTCTATCGAAACACTTGGCACCTCAGCCAGGAAGCCGATAATGTGATGGCAGGTGCTTGTATCAGTGTAAAAAAAAAAGGAAAAGTCCTCTCCCTGTCCACAGATGTCACAGATACTTGTCTCCCTGTTTTCAGAGCACTTGCCAGATGGATAGAGCCACTTTCTCCCCAGTCTTTAAATACATAAATATTAAATAACCACCGGAATGCTTTGTAGTGTTTACTCTTTGAATGCGTCTTTTCTCTTTGCTTTTAACTAAAGTACAATTCTGTATCAGCGGAGGAAGAGGAGAAGGAGAGATGGAGGACGGATGAGTCTGTCATCTGTCTTATAATCACATGAAATACCATAACTCTGCTGGTAGATCATTTATTCAGTGCAGCTCTCTGAGATACCTTGAGGAATGGTTGGGCCTTTGAATGAGACAGTGACATAACTTCAGACAGAAAAGTAGCATCAGTCATCTGTCAATAATCCACCTTCATCCTTCTGCTGCAATTACCAGCGAGCAGTGATAGCAGCTGACTCAGGACAAGCACGTTCACCTGGTTTAACCTGTTGAATTGTTTTCAGTAGAAATATTCCTTCATTTTTAGCTTAGTTATGTGCAGCCTGACAAAAACAGTTCTCCCTGAGGGGAAAAACGCTGTATCTTTTTTTTTTTTTTGCACTCTCAGAGCCTGGATTAATTTTACATCAGGCTGCCAAGTAGGCGTCGTCATGTAAGACTGGTAAACAGCAAGAATTTGTTTTCATCTCGACAGATGGGGGGCGACAGCAACAGAAGAGCACGGCTGCACCTCGGGGGTTGAGATCTTAGACCTCATTAAAACTAAGTTTGAAAGGAATACATTTTTATCTCATTTGAAAGATGAAAAGGAAGCTTCCACCCTCAGTAACAATTCACTGACAGCACAGCGAGCCATTGTCTGTGTGTGTGTGTGTGTGTGTGTGTGTGTGTGTGTGTGTGTGTGAGAGAGAGAGAGAGAGATTTCACAGCTCTTGTCAATAGAGTAAAATCCTCAATACAGCCGTGATAAACATCAGTAACAGCTCTCAGGGGACGTTAACAGAACACACACTGGCTTCTTCTACTACAGTGAAGCTTACACTAGTATTTGACTACAGAGGCATCCAATTACTATCAGGACATCCCAAATATTCAGTTTTAAACTCATAGGGTAATTACAGGAAAGGTCGGGAGTGTGACTCTATATACATATATCAATATCACTGATTTTTCAGGTAAAATATGGCAGCTTTTCCTTGAAAATCTGTACATGTCTCAGCTCTTGGGATGTGCGAGTATTACGTTCATTTAAAATAAAGTCACGCTATTATGAGAATAAAGTCGTAATTTTAGGCTACATGTCATAGAGGGAGAATGTCAGAAGATCAGCTTGTTGCCTGTGTTAAAATGAGAAATAGTATAAATACTTAATATTATGCTTCATCTGCTCCATATTCTTACTATCAAGTGTCTGGACTTTGAAAAGAAAACTGAGTCTATTCCAAAGAAAGAACCATCAAGTCTTGGTGGATGTATTTGTGGAGAAGGAAATGTTAGAAGTAAAATCTGTATGATATTCAAAGGGTTTTGTTGTACACACACACACACACACATAAACTCACTACTCTAAACGATTTAATCCCTATCTCCAATTCCTGATTGCACTTTAATCATTTTACCATCATTATGGAACCTTTTTCCTTTGTGATGGGGCTGAAATCTGAGACTGACTCTTCACTCAAAAGGTTAATAAAAATGACATAATATTCCTCATTTCATTCTTTCTTTATGGTAGAACTTTTGACCTCCTGACAGCCGAAGTTTGGTAAGAAATGCATTTAAAATTTTCCCCAAGCTATCTGAGATCAGTAGGACCTGATAAGTATAATAATTGTGTTTTAACAGGAAGCAGTTGTTAAAAGAAAATAATGTCCTGATATGAGAATATTGGAATAATAATCATCAGAACCAGACAAAAAAAGAAAAGTGGATGGAATATTTCATTGTGCTGCAGCAATTTAGATCCTTTGTATGATACTGTATATTATACTTATATTTATTTAACTCTGACAGTTTAAAGCACACTAAAATCCAACAGTACACTCATATGAGAAACTAGCTTACTTACTGACACAGAACAGAGAGTCATGTTCAATGTGATGATAGGTTTTTGGGTAAGACACATTTTTCATTAGTAACGTGGAAAAGGAACACCAAACAGGAAGCAGTTTTCTGAAGAAGAACAGTGGTACTAAGACAACTGTCATTGTTTGAAACATGTTTTTATAGGAAAGACCTTTCATACCTGATTTTGTTTACTTTCAACTTTTTTAAAGTTGTGGTTCTTATTTTTGTTTTGTCTTGTTTTATTCTGTGCAGTTTCCTTTCCATGTATTCCATGCTATCAAAATAAAGTTTTATTATTATCATTGTTATTATCATTACTATTACTATTATTTATCCAATTTAATTTAAATCAATTGAAACAATTCCTAAAAAAGTTAGACATTTTTTTAAACAAAATCACTTTCTTATTATCATTGTTATTATCATCATCATGAGCAGGACATTAACATTCAGTCTGAACTCCGTCCTAAGCAGCATCACAGATGTGATGGTCTGCTGGTTTACACTTATTGTTACCTGGGGATCTGAATAAGCTAAGTCATGGTGTTTTAACTCCACAGTTTTCAAGTTTACTTTCAGTATTCATTTCACTGTATCAGAATGAAGTTGATGATAATATTTAGAGAGTTTATTGACATGTTACTAAATAGAAATATTTGAAAAGAGCTCGGCCTACATGTCCTCTCTGTCTATCTCTAACCCCGGTGACTCATAAAATCTCTCCTTCGTTTCATGGGGTTACAATGAGAGTGAAAGTGCATGTGGTTTATGAGGCGTATCATTGGCAGGAAAGTGAGATGGATATGGTTATTCTTTGTTTGTCTTCTGGGTTTTTTCTTGCTTTGGTGTTTTGTTTCCTGTTTCACAAGACAGGGTGGAGATGATTTTTTCTTAGCTTATCATTTAGGAGCAGGTAATGAGTAAAATAAAGTGAGAGACAAAATGAGTAGGGTTTTATAAAATACATTAAACTTGTGCTCCCAATTAATTAGATTGAATGTTTTAATTAGCATAATTTAATTAAGAGTCATTAGCTATTTCAAAACTCATAAATTAAAAATAAAACACTACTGGAGACCCCCAGACTAGCATTTATCTGATACTGGGATCAGCTGAACTTTGTTGTTTCCAAGATAACGCCATGTTAAGATCAAGTATCATATTCCTGGTGTCATTAATAACATAGCACATGTGTAACCCTTGCATTTTAACCCCAATAGTCCTCACATTATTTAAAGGCTGGGCACTGTAATTACAGTGAAGGCAGCTGGCAGTGAAGATAAAGTAAAGGTTTCCTCTGATTAAGTTAAATACAATTGTATCACGTGCTGAGACGTCTGCCCTTGGTGACCAATCACACAGAACTGGGTGTTAATCTACAACTACATGGCCAATGCTAAGAGAAGGAGGGAGCGTTCTGTGATCACCTCCCAAGGACGCTTATCCGGCCATACCGCTCACAAGCGCTCTCCTCAGGGCTTTGATGGATGACACCAGCAGCACAAAGTGATAGGCTATTACTTCACTTTGCATTGGATGAATGGCAATGCCGGCTCCTACCTGTCGCCTGTCCTTCTCTCTTGTTTCCCTGTCTCGACACCAGTGTGCCATCCTGAACAGAGCGTGAAAAATGGAAGGGGAGATTTTGTCTGGGCAATCTGTTGATTTTTTCCACATTTCAGATTGAGTTTTTTGTGTGCTTTGTAGTCAAGGTGGAATGTGTATAAGCGGCGTCTAGTAACCAGCCTGTTTGAAAAAGACATGTGATTTGGTACTAGGCTTTTTTCGCGCTTATCATTATGTGTTGAATGCATTTCTGCTAAAATGTTTTTTCTCGGAGAGATTCATATTCTCTCTCGCTCTCTCTTGCTTTCAGACCAGCAGTATTCATGGTCGCCCTCGCAGTACTTCGATGAGGACAGCTACTCCCCTCCACCCAGGAACATGAAGGGTCTCTCTGGTGGCCGCCCTGCCCAGCTGCAGCTCACCTCTCCCACCTCAGCTCACACCTGCGGCCTGGCAGAGTGCGACCATTCCTTGGATCACCACTTATATCATGGCGACTCAAGGTCACCCTCCTACCTCCTTAGCCCCACTGAGAGCTGCCCCCTTGAGGGTCACCACCGCTGCTCCCCGCGGAGCTCCATTCACTCTGAGTGCATGGTGATGCCGGTGTCCATGTCAGCCACTGACCACTCCATCTCTAGTAGCACTTTCCCCCGCATGCACTATGGCAGTGCTTCACGGGACAGCGGTGGAAACACGTCTGGTGGCAGGGACTCCCGAGATGATGGTGGCTCCTCCTCACACGGCGGCAGCGGCAAAATGAATCGAATCCCAGCAAACCTCCTGGACCAATTTGAAAAGCAGATGCCGCTGCACCGGGATGGCTTCCACACGTTGCAGTACCAACGCACCTCCACCACAACCACGACCACAGAGCAGCGCAATGAAAGTCCTGGGCGAATACGCCACTTAGTTCACTCCGTACAGAAGCTTTTCACAAAGTCACACTCTCTAGAAGGATCCTCCAAGATGAATGGCACCAAAGGTGACTCGCACCGGGATGGCTCACACCACCACCATAACCACCACCAAGGCCACCACAAACACAGCAAACGCAGTAAGAGCAAAGACCGAAAATCTGATGGTAGTGGCAAGCAACGCTCAGGAGGATGGTGGAGCTCAGACGACAACCTGGATAGCGACAGCACATACAGGACGCCAAGCATCATGTCGCGACATCCCGTGGACTACATCAGCCACTGCTACCCTGACTCCATGCATAGCCACCTGGCAGGAGACCTGTCGCTAAAGGCCTCCAAGAGCAACAACGACGTCAAGTGCTCGGCTTGCGAGAGCATAAGCATGGCACCAGAGGGCAAATTCATGAAGAGGAGCTCCTGGTCAACGCTAACGGTCAGCCAGGCCAAGGAGGCCTACAGGAAGTCCTCACTCAACCTGGAGAAGCCCATGACCCCCACTGACCTCAAGCCTAACCTCAGGCCCTGTCACTATCTACAGGTGAGTTTGGCTGACTATGCTGTGCTTCCAATTTCACTGATTAACAAAAATTGCAGGCAAATTACTCTTGATGCAACTTGATTGGGGGAATTTACAGGCTGCGAAACAAATTTTGTTTATTTAAATTAATGGATGTGAGGATGGCTATAATGAAGGGTATTTGGAGGATGTGTTGAGAGCAGAAGATGGTTCTTTCTCTTCACGTCTAAATAGCCATCTTATAAAAGTTGTCTGGGAAAACAAATCTGTCTGTGGCCCTCATAGGACTGTGACAAACATGACCACTCATTCCATTCACTGGTGTACCTGTCTGTCACTAACCGACCTGCCTGGCTGTCATCCTCTAGCAGTTGTCAGGCAGTAAATGTACATGTGTTTTGGGGGTGTGGCTTTGATTAGAGGGTCGATGGGACGTATTTGTTTCGTGTTTTCAAAGTGCAACCTGAAGTTTCCACAGTGATTAAGGATCCAATATAAAAGTATTAAGTACTTTAAAGTAGTTGGGACCTGCAACACAGAGAAAAACGTTATTCACCCGAACATAAGCTGTGCATTGTACAACACACACCGGTCTTTTCTATAGGCGCCGATCCAGGAAGAAAAGCTGCTCATCACAGCTGAATTACTGATTGATCTGAAAAACAGTGTTTTGTTTGTTGCTGGATATGACAATGTCAACCTGTCCTGTGGCTCAGCGTGTCGCTCGCAGCAGAGAGAACTATCACAGCAGGACGAATCAATTAACTCCATACAACAAATGGTCTGCACTGGAAGGGAAGAGTCAGCAGTGTGAGGATAGAAGGGGAAGAGATCGATGCAGATTTTTTTTACCACGTCGTTTGCTTCGATTTTGCATAGGTTTTAGCTCTGGAAAAAAGATTAGCATTTAGCTCAGGCCCTATGATCAGGCTCTGCATGAGACCCCCTCCCGTAACACCATGGGGATCAATTCAAAATGAGTCAGCGCTTTTCACAGAAGTGTTTCACAGGTTTTTTATATGCATGCTGAAGGGTATGCTATGTGGAAAGAAGAAAGAAAGCATGCTCTGAAATCGAAAATTGCAAATCTAAGCAGCGAAAAAATTGACTTTGGAACAAGGCTGCTCAGTAAACAACAATGTGGTATGTGATAGCATCATGTTCGTACCGCCTGTGGCCAAAATAAAGTGAGCACTTCAGCACATTGGGAAAGGGGTACTCTAAGCAGAGAGTGTGTTGTATGGATTAGAGGCTGTAATCAGAAAGCCAATCAAATCAGCCAATGGAGTTAAAGTGAGCAAACTTTACGTCAGCCAAATATATTTCAGGTGGCTAATTTTAGACGTCTGTGCTATTAAACATAACTGATGACCGTTTTCAACCGGACATTTTTTACAATCCCTCTAAGTGCAGTAATCTGCCGACGAGACAGCCACAGTGTATGGTGCCACCCCTCCACCCTTTCCTTTCTTCCATTTGGTCATTCAGCTGAGGTAGTGTCCAAGTCATTGCACTATAAACACTTCTAAAAATATCCTCCTGCTTCCTGCCGCAGGGCTATATTTAGCCCGGCGTTATCAATCCAATCCATGCAGGGTGACACGTCTTCGCTCCCCGGAGGAGAATCAATGCCCTTTTCGGAGAGAGCGGGGAAGATGTATCGAAGAGGAGAGGGGCGGGGGAAAGTTCGAGATGCATACATCTGAGGCCTGTTCCTCTGTGCATGCAGAGATCCTCCAGGAAGCAGAGAGAGTGGAGGAGAAACACGACAAAAGGGATGGCTATTTTTGCTCCCTCACGGCTAATGTTGTTGCTCATCAGCAGGAGCAGTCAGGCAGAGAGATAGAGCCAATAGTCAGAAATGGTGCTCACACAGAGGGGTCACATTGAGAGGTTTTTCACTTCCTGCTGCTGCTGATTTGGATTTATCCCACAACTGTCTGCACTGTACTGAATGTGTGTTCATGTGTGAATGTGCGAGACAGGGTGATTTTTTTCTTTTTCTTTTTATCATTCACCAGATGGTTTGGTGATGTGCTAGTCACCTTGTTTGCGTCCTTGGTTGATGACGGAGGGAAGGAAAAAAACTTTCTGAAGTGTGCTAGAAGTGCGGGAAGACAAACACACAGATGTGCTGTGTTTGTATGTTAATGCATGAGCTTCAGTTAGTGTGTGTGAGACACTGTGAGAGAGTGGGTTATAGTGCATGTGTACGTATAAGAGATTGATTAACTGGACAGTGGGGGAGACAGAGATAGATTCATTTTGGCTGCTCTTTCTCTGAAAGCCATCGCTCTCTGTCTCTGGCTAAGTCATTTCACAAATTGACCACAATTAGCCTCCTGAAGACACACACAAACACACATTTTGCTATTCCTTTATGAGTATGATCATGAACTTGATTTTAATTAAAGGAGATGATTGTGGACACAAACATCCAATGTCATATCTCTTTTACCTTTGCCAGTACAGGGGTTTACCTTTCTGTTTCCAACCAACACTTGGGAAGTGGGAAACACAACACACATCTGAAGAAACCACTATAGAGACCAGTGACAATATAACACCTTTTAGTTCAGTTCCTCTTTTCTTGCATGATACAAAAAGAAAGAATCACTGCTGCACGTCGCTCCCAAGATGTAAACAAAATGTATACAAAAGTTCACGGCCATTTATGTGCCAATGGCTGAAAGTTCAATGCATGTTATAATTTGCGCTGTAAAAGGTGCAAATGCGTTCACCTGCATTTCATGTTTCCATCACTGTCTATCAGGGCCAGAGCCATTAAAAACCATAAGTCATTTGACCTGGGAGTTAATGCCGACTGTATCCATTCCGATTATAGTGACCAGTGAAACAAGGGCTTAAGCGAGGAGGAATTTCAATGTGCACACAGGTTTGTGTTCGCCATCTTTCTGTTGCACTTTCACACACTGATGTACACATGGACAGATGTTAGAGCTCCTATCTCTACCACATTCCTTATGCCCAAACCTGTAAATTGCCAGCACAATAACTTTGTCGTACTGGCAGCTCTCAGACCTGTTTAATAAGTCAGCTGCTCTAGCAAACGCTACTCTGTTCTCTCCTAGCACACAGTAACCGTGCTACAAAGGGAGGATTAGCCTATGATAGTTTTGCTGATGGGGCATTGCAGAGGGACTTAATAAGCCAATTAATTGCCATGATGGCTTGCCAAAGGTGGAGCTTGAGAAGCAGAAAGGCTGATGATTAAAACACAAAAGTGAAGTGCAAAGCAGCAGAAACAAAACTGGCACTGTGACGGAAAGCTACTGTAACCTCCGCACATACACACCCCTACACAGGGGTTCCCTAACTTTTTCATTAAGGAGTTTCCAGATAGCTATCATGCCATGAACCATTACTTAATATTTTATACGATTTTGTCCCAGGATCAGACAGCAGCTTGTAGATAAATGTTACTCGTCTGTTGCCCGAGGCGACAGGGTTGCTTCGTGGTTACCACCATGTCGGCAAGCATCTGCTCATACTTCTGTTTTGTTGTTAACCTGTTGTTATCTAAATCCTCAAGTTTCATTTTATTCTACAAGGACATTGTCAGACCAATTAAAGTAGCAATTAAAAGTCTATTGTTCAGCACATTTTTGTTACTGCTTCTCAAATACAAATCAATAATAATAGCAAACAATTCCTGTGGGGTTTAATAAGCATATTTGCAGCTTGATCAGCATTATCTCGCTTGGATTTTTTCACTGTATGTGACTCATTTGGTGCAAACAATCAATTTGACCTTGTAGTGTCTCATCTGTCATGAATCTTCCCTTGAGACATTTTGAAGATAATGTTATGGACCCTTTGAAACAGTTTTGATATGTCTGTAGATATATGTATGAATTTTGATTTATTTTCATGAAAGTCTGTGTTGAATGTTAAATGGTTTGTATTTATATAACGCTTTTCTAGTCTTGATGACCACTCACCCATTCACATACACATTCATACAGTGCATCTATGAGCAGCACTTTTTTTGTTTTGTTCTATGAGGGGTACTTCAGGGTTTAGCATCATCTTGCCCAAGGACACTTTGGCACGCAGATGGGGAACACTGGGGATCGAACTGCCGACCTTCTGGTCGGTGGACGGCCGCCCAAATTGAATTGGTGGAAGTTTTGATTTTGAATGTGGAGGTAGTGAATACTCTTAAGTCTCCGATAGGCACCTATTTCCCACTAAAGCCACTATAAGGTATTTTTCCTGCAGCAGACAAAAGACACAAAGTTGCAGCAACTTGTGAAGAAAGTCAGACAACATTTTGGATAATCTCTATTAACAGCTGTCTGCATATGAATGCAGATAAAATAAGAAGATGATAGCCGATGCATTTCGGTCAATGTGTTCTGTTACTTTTGCTCTTCACACAGACTGTTTACCTGCAGGCAACCATAGCCTGCTCAAATGTGATTGGTCAAACTAGAAATGCTTATCCAGATGTTTCCATCCCAGAAATTTCTCCCAATTAATGCAAATGTTCTCCCCCTTAATGGTCAGAAATTAATCAGAGTTGCAAGATATAAATGAAGATTCTCCTCCTTTAAACTGATGAAAATGTAGTTAGCATTCAGTCATTTTTTGTCCCACTAAGACTACACTCCTTGGATCTAGCAAGCAAATGTGGATTGTCACAGACGCTCTCAGGGTTTGCTATAGAAAGGAAGTCTGCACAGGAGGATTTGTTCTGAAGATGTAAACTGTATTAAGTCAATAGATAATTGGGGTGTGCAGATAGGAAACATCGGCAATGAAAGAACTCTGTGAATGTGTGAGCTGTGTGTTGTGGAGGTGTTAAAGGTGCAAAGGAAGATGATGCAGAGTTGATGCCAGCTGAAGGGAGACAGGCCGAGCGGATCACATGGGTAAGCTTTTTATAATGATGAGCTGACAACCCTCCACTGTCAGCCAGTTGCCTGCTGAGCTTGACAAGGATAGACCTCAAGGCAGTGGGAGGTGATTTGTAATGAATATTACACTGCCAATGGTCA